CAGTAAATTACAGCCTATCTGTATAAAGGAATACTACTTGGCCTAAAAAAGGAATGAACCCTTGGAAAATGCAGCAACACAGATGACTCTCATGTTGCGTGAAAGAAGCCAAACCAAAAAATATATATGCTATATGGTTCCATTATATAAAATGTCAATTAGCCTGTAGAGACAGAAAGCAGATCAGTGGTTGCCTGGAAATGGAGGTGAAAAGTCAGTTAGAAAGGGTCACAGGCTCAGCGCCTATAGCTCATGGCTACAGCACTTGCCACATACACTGACTACTCTTCCCATAAAGCCCTTACCAAACCCCACAGTTCAAATTAATCTTTTTCTCAGCACTCTTTGTTTTTAACTGTTTTAGTGCCACTATAGAAAAATATTATCTAAACTAGGACATGACTTCCTTTTCATCTTTGTATACCTTCTATTACCTGTGTAATGACCAGTATTTATTTCAATAGATTTGTCCAAGTATTTTTTTTAAAAAGCAACGTATTTTACTTGCCTACGTTCTAATTAAGGAGAAAGATATCTAAATGTTAACCTGAGAATATATGGATCTTATAGAAATCAGCACAAATAGTTAAAAATTTAACTATTTTTGATCTAGCAGGCAGATCAAATACAAGGTTTTTCTTTGGCACAGGTCACACCCAACTTAGCATGGCTTACTTCCTAACAGTGTCCAACTCAAACCACCAAATTAGCTACTTTCCATTTTCACTGCCACAGGGACCTTTGCTGGATACTCTCCTTTCTTGTTAGAATGTCCTCCTCCTTCCTCCCTGGCCAAACTGCCTGGGACGATTGTTATGATAGTGTTGACAATTAATAAAAAAGTGACTGTTTAGCACTTACGTGCAAAGCATAGTGGCCAAAGATAAACACATACTTATGTGTACTTCTATGGCACCTATGTGCACATAATTTCACTCCATCTTCTTAATATTTTGAAAATTAATATCACTCACCTGTATTCTACAAAAGATAAAATTTTGGTTTAGTAAGGCTGACCAACAATTTGAATTTTAACATGATTCTGAAACCAATACAAATTCCATCACAGGTTGTCTGTGAATAAGGCCCAACTCACATCTTAACATCCAAAAGAAGCTTTTTCCAACTACCCTGATCCACATTAATGACCTATTTTCCCAACATAATACACTTTTTGTCTAAATCTTTTTTTTTTTTTTTTTGAAGAGACAGTCTTTCTACGTTGCCCAGGCTGGCCTCAAATTCCTGGGCTCAAACAACCTTCCCACCGCAGCCTCAGGACTAGCGGGGACTAGGTGCATACTAGCAGCCACTGTACCCAGCTGAAATCACATTTTAAAGGTATCTTCCTTACTGGACTGCAAGCCCCTTGGAAGGAGAGTCTACTTTCTCTTCCGTGTTTATATATTCCCAAGGCCTAACCCATTGTAGTGCTCAAGAAAAGCTCTCTGAAATGAAATGAACTGAGCCTCTAATTGTGGAAACCATGGAATCACTTACTAATCCTAATGTGGCGGAAACCTTTTTTCTACAGAATTGCTAACACAGACATCCAGATTCAGTGAGGATAATTTTATGATAGAGAACTTACTACTTCACAAACAGCTTATTCTTCTGATCAACAGTAGTTATCAAAAAGTTGTGAGGTTTTGTGTTATTTTCTTTTTTAGAATAATAACTGGAACAAGATTTGCCTCCTAGTTCTACTCTTGGGGTCAAACGCAGAATAGGTACGCTCTCCAAATATGGCAACAACAGACTGACAATAAATTCATCAGCTTATTAAAAAGCTAGATATAATTCAATAAATAAAAAATATGTACAAAAGGAAAATAACCAATTGCACATAAATAATACATAACTAGTTAATAACAATAAAGAAATAACATGCTTTGGCAACTTGAAATAACATGAATCCATCAGGCAAATGTAATATTCATATAACAAAAGTTAAGATATACAGTAGGGTCCTATTTATTTAAAAGCAAACTACATGATACTCGTAAAGAATAAAAAGTATACAGTGGTTCTCAACCTTCCTAATGCTGTGACCCTTTAATACAATACAGTTCCTCATGTTGTGGTGACCCCAACCATAAAATTATTTTTGTTGCTACTTCATAACTGTAATTTTGTTATGAATCATAATGTAACTATCTGATATGCAGGATATATTTTCATTAGTCAGGACCCACAGGTTGAGAATATCTCTGTATTAGGAGATATACTGGGGTGCTATACTGTTATTAGGAGATATACTGTTTGAGCCCTGGCTGACAACATTCTTTTTGTTTTTTTTAAGACAGAGACTTAACTTTGTTGCCCTCAGTAGAATGCCATGCTGTCACAGCTCAGAGCAACCTCAAACTCTTGGACTCAAGTGATCCTCTTGCCTCAGCCTCTCAAGTAGCTGGAACTACAGGTGCCTGTCACTACGACCGGCTATTTTTCAGAGACAGGATCTCACTCTTGCTCAGGCTAGTCTTGAACTCATGAGCTCAAGCCATCCCCCTGCCTCAGCCTCCCAGAAGGCTAGGATTACAGGTGTGAGCATTGCACCCAACCAATGTTCTATTTCTTGATCAGGTGACGTACACATAACTGTTCATTCTATAAATAATCACCTTTTAAACTGCATGTATGTTTAATGCAATCTTTTAAACACATTACATATTTTGTTATTGCAACAAAATTATTTTGAAATGTGCTAGGGCTTCTAGTAAAAACAATATTTAAAAAACAGTAATAATGGGCTACCAACTACAGTCAATAGTCCGTAGTATTTTTAAAAAATCACAATCACCGGCTCAGCACCTGTGGCTCAAGTGGCTAAGGCGCCAGCCACATACACCTAAGGTGGCAGGTTCGAATCCAGCCCCAGCCCGCCAAAACAATGACGGCTGCAACCAAAAAATAGCTGGGCGTTGTGTTGGGCGCCTGTGGTCCCAGCTACTTGGGAGGCTGAGGCAAGAGAATTGCTTGAACCCAGGAGTTGGAGGTTGCTGTGAGCTGTGATGCCACGGTACTCTACCCAGGGGATAGCTTGAGGCTCTGTCTCAAAAACAAAAAATCACAATCACCAATATCATCTTCAAGAAAGGAAACACAAGGGTCTCATAAAATCTTTTAGAAGACTTTGTCCTGGTAGTTAATGGAGAAATCACAGAATGATCTACTAGGAATCAGATATAATTAGATTCATATCTTAAAGAGAAGAACGCACTGGAGTGAACTGGGAGTAACACTAAAATTAGGGAAGCATTTAAGAGGCAGCTGCTAAAATCTGGAAAGGAGATAATAGCTTAAATTAAGGTGAGGCCAGTAAAGATGAAGGAAAAGTGGAAGAAACTGGCATAAACTAGAAGCAAAAGATGCAGTGAGTACATGTAGGTGAGAGAAATGGATACAAGGAGGATACATGGGCCTGTGGTTTGGATGTCTGGGAAGATGACAGTGGCATTGACTAAAAAAGGAACTACCAAAGGATTTCAGATATTCCTTCAAAACATTTTGGGAATATCAACTCTATTCCAGGCATAATTCTAGGCACTGAGGAGACAGCAATGAATAAAACAAAGCTCCAGACCCCACAGACCTACAATTTAGTGATAGTTGGACCTTTGAATCTGAATTGGTAAGGGGGCTAATTGTATATACTTTTACCTTATTTATCCATTATCTTTCAACATTAAAGAAATTCCTAGCACTAAAACTTCATGATACCTTGACCTCAAAAAGGCAGCAAAAAGGCTTATGATCTACAAACATTTCTATGAACCTTAACAAACAAGGTTCCCTCTGTTATTAAACTGGGCTAAATAATTAACCAAACAATTATTTTAAAAAATCACTGGGTGCCACACACATTTATTTCAATGCTGCCACCTTATGTTAAAACATGGAACTACACAGCCTAAAAAAGCCATACCCTTATCAGACTATGAAATCTGAAATACCAGTTTGCGGAGTCAATGAAAAGATAGAAAAAAGTGAATACTAAGGGTTATTAATGACAGTAACAAAAGCTTATCATTTATAGAAATCAATTTAGGTGTGAGTATTTCTGACAAAATGGAAGATCTCATGAGATAAGTAATTTTAGTCCAGATATAATTCTTCCTTTGAGAAAACATTTTCCACATTTGTAACAGGAGCCATGTACAAGAGAGCTCATAATAGGAAAAGACACGAACTACCTAAATGCCCATTGACAAAAGTAGACGATATAAATCATAGTACATTCACATCACTGAATATTGTATTACAGTGTAAATGAACTATAGCTATATGCAATAACTTGATGAATATCATAAAGTTGAGGGCAGAAAAAAGCAAGTCCCAGAAGACAATAGTATTATGATTACAAGAAAACTAAATATATTGTTTGAGTACACATACAATAATAAAAACTATTTTAAAGAAGCAAAGAAATGACAAACAGAAATTTTTTTTTTTTTTTTTTTTTGAGACAGTCTTTGTCATCCTCGGTAGAGTGCCATGGCGTCACAGCACACAGCAACCTCACAATTCTCTTGCCTCACCCTCCCAAGTAACTGGGATTACAGGTGCCCGCCACAACACGCAGCTATTTTTATAGATGAAGTCTTGATCTGGTTCTGGCTGGTCTTGAACCGGTGTGTTTAGGCAATCCACCCACCTTGAGTTCCCAAGTACTAGGATTACAGGGATGAACCACCACACCCGGCCACAAACAAAATTTTTTCGAAAGAGTAGTTTCAGGAAAAAGGGGGAGGGGACAAGAAGAAAATGGAATATCTAGGAACTTAGTGTAAATAAACAAATGCAAGTTATTAGTAATGTTCTAGTTCTTGAGTAGAGGGTTTTATAATTTACATACACGTCTATTCTAAGTATCAATTATTAAAGTATTCTTTAAAGACACAGAAGAAACTATTTTTAAAAATAAACCACTATACAACATTGCCAGAATCTTAATAACAAACTCAGCATTTGCTTCAAATTTTAAAAAAAGTCTTTACCGTTGTGTCTGTTCAACTGCTTTGTCCAAGTGCTGAAAGATATTCTGAAACAGGGTGCAGCTGGATCGACTATTAATAGTATATCCATATCCTCTTTTCCAATATTGTTTCAGATCATTTAAATATTCTAACGCCTAAAAATAAAAATTTCAAAAATCATTTTAGCATATTTTCATCACTATAACAGATTTCCTGATTTAAAAATTCAGAAAAGGTTACATTGTTTGTAATTATCATTCTGCACAAAGTATAATTTACACCTGTCTTTTCTGGCATATGAGGGTTAGCTCCAAAGGCCCACGACACAGATTTATCACAAATTTGGATCAAGGGAATGTAGAGGCTGGTGTGCGAGAGCAAGTTAGGGGTGCTCACAGCCAAGAATCAAGAGGAGGAGAATCAAGTTCAGGAGAATGGGGCAGGACATGTGCTTACCGCCCCCTTCTTCTAAAATTACATTAAGATGATAGCCAAGATAAATACAAGAGAAAGGGAGAAAAAAGGCATACACAGAAGAATATTCATTATAGCCCAGAAGATATCAAGAGCAGATCAGAAATTTCTAAAAAATTTTTAAAGTAGAAACCAAATAGAAAATGAATTATTTTGGTTCATGTTTAAGTTTGACAAAAATAATAAAAGTATACCAAGGATATGGGAAAACTCCATCCATATAGTTTTCTGTATGCTAAAAGGTATGCATACTGATATAGATATTCTAAAGAGCGAAGTGGTAAAATCCATGAAAACACACAGGCTCTGACTCAACTTAATTCCATTTATGTAATATTCAAAGAGGAGCACAAAGGAGAATACAGAAGAGCGTCTCATATAGCAGCATTGCCGATGGGAGCAAAAACAATTCTCAGAAATACCTAAATTCCAGTAATAGATGGTTCAATAAGCTATGGTATATACATACCATGGCATACTTTGAATTATCAAAAAGTTCTGCATTATACATCAACACTTATTAACATGGGAAGATCTTCACAACACACTGCTGAATAAGAGATTAAGAATGCAGAATACCATCAAAATACACAAATATACAGTACACCCTTTACACGTCTAAGAATGACACAGATTATAAATAACATATAAAAGAGTTAGAAAGGTATACATCACTGATAGCAGTGGAGAGGTCTGGAACTGGAGCCGGTAATGAAGGTAGGCTTCTTCTGAAGGTTAAACTTCGTACTTTGGACCATTTGATCAGATAGAAATAGAGAACTAAACCTGTAACTAAAACCATAACTAGTGGACTAAAACCTATAACCCAAAAGAGGTGCAAGATTAAGACTACGCAGTAATTACAAGCTTTTGTTCCCAAAAGAACTCTCTGAGAAACTAAGTGCAAGTCAAAATAAGTTTTAAGAGCAGTGGTAGGCCAATGCCATATACAAAACACAAACCAAAAAATACGTAGTATATGTAAGAGGCAGTTAAATAAAAAAGTTAGCAATGGCCCCATGATGTCCAGCAAAAAAATAAAAGGAAAAAGAAAATTAGCAATGGCAAGTACATGTTAAAATAAGTAAAAGTGGAATTAGAACAAAACTGGATAAAAGTATGTTATTCTTTCTATTCAAGAAATAGAACAAATACAGCATTAGAAATTAAAAAGGTGGCTCGGTGCCTGTAGCTCAAGCGGCTAAGGCTCCAGCCACATACACCTAAGGTGGTGGGTTCGAATCCAGCCCAGACCCGCCAAACAATGATGGCTGCAACCAAAAAATATCCGGGCGTTGTGGTGGGCGCCTGTGGTCCCAGCTACTTGGGAGGCTGAGGCAGGAGACTCGCTTGAGCTCAGGAGTTGGAGGTTGCTGTGAGCAGTAAAGCCATAGCACTCTAACCAGGGGGACAGCTTGAGGCTCTGTCTCAAGGAAAAAAAAAAAAAAAAAGAAATGAAAAAGAGATTTTTAAAAACCTTACGTGTATACTACTAAAACTATACATTGTTCAAAACTTGAAAAATGTAAATGAAAGTGACTTTTCTAGGAAGTAGAAGGTTAGTCTACTATAGTCAAAGGTTACTGAAAGATACCAGGCACAATTGATTTTAAGCATGAGTTCTACCAAAGCTTTAAGAGTTAGTTCCTAATACTTAAACTATTCCAGAGCACAGAAAAAGATGGAAAGCTTTTAAACTCGTTTAAGGGGGATGTGAAAATTGTCAGAATCAAGAGTCACTAGTGTAAAAAAAACAACCCCAAAACCCTGACAAATAGGACCAAGAAGGCTATGAAGAGAAGGTTTGCATCGTGTATGCCTCATAACAAAAACAAACACAAAAGACGTTGCAAAAACCACAACCTTGCACAAAGGCCATTTCAACCTTACACAAACACACCCACAAAAAAACTTCTGCAAGGACATCTGCCCAACCTTGGACTGGCATCACCCCTGTTACTAATCCTTATACTTAAGGATAATCATTTCAAAACATGTAATTCTCCTCATTTTTCCTTTAAAAACTTTTGTCTTCCTCTATCTCCTTGAATATGCACATGGTTTTACTACAGCATATGTATGTATCTCCACTGCAGTGCTCTATTCCCAGATAAATACCATTTTCTCTTCGCCTCTCTGGGTTACAAAATTTAGGTCAACAGGCTAATAGAAGCCTATTTCCAAAACTGAACAAAGAAAAAGAGTAAGGGAAGAAAACTACAGACCACTGCATTTTTGCAGCACAGTTAACATCCCTTGCTCTTACCCACTAAATGCTAAATATGACTCTGATTTATTGTTATAAACAAAAATACCCTTACATTTCTAACCCCCTCAAAAGGAAAGGAGTAAGGCGGGGGCCAATAGTATCACCCTTCACAAATTAATAGCCACTGCCATAAACCAACCTCACTGTAAACATGATTTAAGGAATCTGAAATACAACATTACCAAATAAAATTCAGCAATATGTTGAAAGGATGTGTCATCTGCCATGATGGGAGGGCGTAACTGGTCTCAGTTTCTCTATCAGAAACAATTAGAAAACAGGACAAAGCAAGTGTCCATGGACACTGGGTAATTTAATCACCAGACTGTAATCACTGAGAAGGGAAACAAAGCAAGCTCTACAACTGCCTGGCTTTCTGCCTGCTCCCCTCCTCCCCCAAGCTGAGCTCAGCAATCTTGTTGAGATGAGGAGTCAGAGCTCAGTCTGTGAAGCTTAAATGGGCTGGATGAACACAACAGTGTATCAGAGAAAAATCTCCATGAATCTGCAGGCTACCTCTGATTCCCTTGCCGAAAGCCACCAGGAGAATTGTAAGCTGAACAATTCGTAAGCTGTCACAAGGCAGGGAGTTACTCAGTTCTAAACAGCTTCAGCAGAGAGAAGTGGCTGATTATCCAGGACATTTGATAAAGAACCTGGTAAAGGTGGCACTTATATGCTGAGTTTTATAAGATCAGGTATACAGTATGAAATTCAGAAGGAAGCTTTGAAAGCATCAAGCTGATCTACAAGTAACAAGAAAAAATTCAACACTCTTCCCATGCTGAATACAGCATTATTTACTACAGCCAAGGAATGGAATCAACCTAAGTGTCCATCGACTAGCAAATGGATAAAGAAAATGGAGTAGACACAATAGAATGCTAGTCATCCATTAAAATAGTGGAGGCTCTGCCATGTCCCACCACATGGATGAACTCGGGAATATTATGCTAAGTGAAATAAATAAGCCACAGAAAGACAAATATTGAATTATCTCATTTACATGTAAAACCCGAAAAAGTAGAACTCATAGAAGCAGACAGCAGAATGGTAGTTCCAGGGGATAGAGGATGGGGAAATGGGGAGATGCTGGTGAAAGGGTATGAAGTATCAGTTATATAGGAGATCTAATGTATAGTCTGATGACTAGAGTTAACAATAATGTACTATACACTTAAAATTCGCTAAGAGGATAGATCTTAACTTTTCTTATCACAAAAAAAGTTAACTATTTGACATGATGGATATATGTTAATCAGATTGATGATGGTAATCATTCTTCCTATGTATACCTGCATCAAAACATATTATACCCCTTAAATATATACAATATATACAATATAATTTTTGTCAATTATACCTCAATAAAGCCGGAGGAGGGAATGTTCTCACTTAGAAAATATAAGCTAAACGTCTCACCCCTTCTGGCCACATTAAAAAAAAGAGAAAAGGAAATATAAACAACTTCTGACTTAAAAGACAATGGAATCAACAGATCACTGCCCTTTTCTCTCAGAAATCACCCTAAAAAAAGAATGAAAAAGATAAATGAAATGCCTTCTTCAAAGAAATTGAGAGACCTCAATACCCTGAACCACTACCATAAATAAGGATAGACTACCAAATACAGTGAAAATCCAACCCCCTCAGATAAAATCCTCCACTTGAAACAAGACAAATGAGCCTCCCGGGGCAGGATGTGACACCACTATGAGGGAACCACAGGCTGACCGTCCATCTTTTCAGATCCTCTTTTTTCTGCTTTAAAGAGTAATTTAGGGATGAATAACTCTAAATTGGAAAGGAATTTTGTTCTCTAGATACCTGTTCAGCTCTGCTGGTGGCTAGAGAGAAGCAAAAGCTAAAATGAACCCACCTAACTATTTGAGGTGATGAATCCATGTTAACCAGAAAGATGAGCAATAATTAAAAGGGGGGCTTGCATACCATCTATATAAACATAGAAAGAAAAAAGTTGCTATAAAGACAATAGCAGAACTTCTGCTATAGAGCAGATGAAAACTGCAATTAACAAACACACATAGTGTCAGGAATTCCAAAGACTTACAAAAATAATTTTTCTAATGAAATAATTTAATTGTTTTAAAAAAGCCAAAAGTAGAAAAAAAATTATAAAAAGTTAGAAACATAAGCTATAGCAGCTCCAAAAATAGTTTGGCATTACCTCATAAATGTGAAGTTTTACTTATCATATGACCAGACAATTCTACCACACACATACACCTTCAGAAATGTGTGCATGTGCCCCACAGAAATATGCAAGAACGTTCATGGCAACAATGTTCTCAATAGCCCCCAAATGAAAACAAACCAAATGTCTGCCCAGAAGATAATGAATTGTAAAATACTTGTATAATGGAATACTATAAAGCAATAAAAATAAAAATTATAGTTACATACAGCATTATGATAAATTTTTTTCTTTTTTTTTGAGACAAGAGTCTCACTTTGTCACCCTCAGTGGAGTGCCGTGGCATTGTAACTCACAGCAACCTCAAACTCTTGGGCTTAAGCGATTCTCTTGCCTCAGCCTCCCAAGTAGCTGGGACTACAAGCACCCACCATAACTCCCAGCTATTTTTTAGAGGTGGGGTCTCACTCTTGCTCCAACTCATATAAGCTCAGGCGATCCACCCACCTCAGCCTCCCAGAGTGTTAGGATTATGGGCGTGAGCCACCAAGCCAGCCTTTATGATAAATCTTAAAAAACACAAATGTTGAACAAGAGCTGGATACAAAAAACAAACATAACAAGTGATTCCATCACATAAAGTTCAAAAACAGATAACACTAAACTGTTTCCTGGGAAAAAAATAAAATAGTAAGCGATAAGCTAAAGTAATGAAAAAAATGAAAGCAAAAGTACACCAGTGAGTAAAAATAATGGGGAAATAATTTTAGACAGAGAAGAAAACTTTTTTAAATTATAAAAGGGAAGTCTGCTAAACTCTGCAAATAAATCTGAAAATATGGATGGCATGGATGACTTTTATAGGAAAATTTAAAATACCAAAACTGACCCAGAAGAGACAGCCTGATGCCATTAAGTCAACTTGCTCCTTTGTGCACCAGTATATTTTACACAGATGGTCCCTGGCTTAAGATGAGTTCAACTTACAATTTTTACTTTACAATGGTTTTATATGTACACAAGGGATAACAAGGTTTCAGAAGTCCATCATAATACTAAATGATCCATACTGGCAGTGCTTAATAAAAACAACACTCTCCTACCCCACTTCTCCGCCTCCACACCCCAGAACTGGGAGAAATTTGGAGAATTTATCTCCCTTACTAGCATCAAAGACCTGCTAGAACTTCTTTTTCCAGAGTCTAAAAGTTGGAGCCATATGAATGAAGAGGGAAAGACGGAAATGAAGTAGGCAGGTTAAGAACTGTGTAACAGACGAATTACTGCCACCACCCGGTGAAACACAGAACTCAAATGCTCATGAAAACTGTTACAAAATAGTTACTAGGTCTTTGGAAAGGCATCTCTCTTCTCTGAGCTTTGGCATTCTTTAAAAAAGAAAAATTTGGATTATACCAGGTCTATAAACCCTTCCAGCGGTAAAATCTGATGACAGGTTAAGTTAAGTTTTTAAATTAGGTGGACCTAGAAATCAAATCACCACGGAAGAAATGTTTCCAGAGTTGTATGAACCCAAATTATTTATAAGTAGGTGGGACTTATTTGAACATTTAATCTCTATTTAAGGAAAATTATAAGTTAGTCATGAGACAGCTTATGTTCCCTAACTCTGCTTATTTTATGAAAACCTGCTTTAAGTAATTACAACAAAAAAGCAGCAAAGAAATTGAAAAGTACTTCTTACCTTTGCATCATCTATGTCAAAAACATCACACCAAGGAGATTTAATACCTTTAATTGCCAGGTCAAATGAGCAGGTAAAAAAAGCTACCTGAATTAAATCTGGAAAAAAGAAAAAATGTTGTAGGTCATTATTTTGTGTAATTTCTCAAAGGCTAAATAAATCTCTGTAGAACGACACGTGTGCACAGCTGCAGAAAGTAAGTATGTTTAGTTTGACAAAAAGACTGGTTTCTCAACTGAGACTTGTTCGGTAAAATCTAAAGGAGCAGAACCAGAGCTGTAAGGAAAAAACCACAGGAGGTACACATTTCAGGCCAATGAAGTTAAGAAACTTTCTGTAAATGGCAACTTTTTTCTGATTTTAAAGGTAAGTATTTGGTGGTTTTGTCTTTTTTTGGAGATAGAGCCTCAGATTGTCACCCTAGGTAGAGCACTGTGGCATCACAGCTCACAGCAACCTCCAACTCCTGGGCTCAAGCGAGTCTCCTGCCTCCACCTCCCAAGTAGCTGGGACTACAGGCGCCCGCCACAACGCTCAGCTATTTTTTGGTTGCAGCTATCACTGCTGTCTGGCGGGCCCAGGCTGGATTCGAACCCGCCAGCTCAGGTGTATATGGCTGGCACCTTAGCCATTTGAGCCACAGGCGCCAAGCCGTAAGTATTTGTTAAGAGCATTTTTGCCTAGCAAACCCAACAAAAAGCTTAACCCAAGCACTTTCTATATAATATATAACCAAGGACTTTCTTAACTTGATTGTTAATTTTAGAGGGTTGGAGGAGGGGAGCTAAATATGAAGATTTTAGGCCTAACCTGAAAATCAAGAATAAAAAAGCACATTTATTGACAGTGGTTTAAAATATACAATTTATTATACAACATACTGCACAATATACTACATCTAATAAGCAGCGCCAAGTACAGACAGAAGGATATAAAAGGGGAGAGAAGACTACAGAAGACGGGCAGGAGAAAGACTGTAGACAAAGACCGGCAGGAGAAAACTGAAACAGAGCAGAGGAAACAAGGAGCCCAACCTCACACGCTACAGAGGGGAAAAGGCTGGCAACAGTATCAGGGTTGCAAATCCAGCTGCTCAAATAATTTAAGAGGTGCACTTTAGAATACGTTAGTTGACTTACACTGCTAATTCACTGATTACATTATTTTTAGATTTATTTATGGGTGTGGAAGAGAAGGGCTAAGAGAGTACTTGGGCTACAAAAAGTAGCCTCTGTCAGTAGCAAATAAAAACACTGCTGCTCTCTCGTCAATGGAAAGTGGGTGATAGTTAATAAGAGACAGAGCAGGGGTTGCCTCCAATGCTTTGATTTTTCTTTGCCTTTACTGCCTTTCTTCTTTTCCAAGCGAAAATGGGACAAGAACTTACTTGATGTTACATGCACTTTGTACTAGTTCTTAGCTTAAAGAATTCCCCTAAGGCACATGGTACATAGTACAAAAATGTATCTCACCAGGAATATAAACAAAAGTCAAGGAAAAACTTTGTGTAAAAAGGAGCTTTTATAATCTCAACACCTTATATAAACAGTGGCTTATACACATTATGTATGTTTGATGAAAGGATCAGGCTCATTTGCTCTCAAAGGTCTAATTTTGGAATTATGAAAGTCAGCCCAAATCGTTTGTTTATTCTTTAACTGGAAAGAAGTTTATTGGAAAAAAATTCACCAAAAAACTCTTTGAAGTATAGGAAGAAAAAGCATGAGATGAAGAATGAGGCTATGAGAGCTAACTACCACAGCCAAGCAAGTCAACTCTCTAGGCCTCAATAACAAAACAATGTTAGCAGCAAGCACCGTGGCTCACACCTACAATTCCAGTACTTTGGGAGGATGGGTGGGAGGATCACATGAGGCTAAGAGTTCAAGACCAGCCTGGGCAACATAGCCAGACCATGTTTCTAGAAAACAACACTGTTAGCTGGGTGTGGTGGAACATGCCTATAGACCTAACTACTAAGGAAGCTAACATGGGAAGATCACTTGAGTCAAGGTTATAGTGAGCTATGATGGGGCCACTAGACCCTGACCTGGGCAACAAAGAGACCCTGTCTCAACAACAACAACAAACAGTAAGGAGGTTAGACATGATCTCTGACTTTTGGTCAATCTTCTTTTAAAAACTCAAAAATATTTCTAGTGCATTAGAGATTTAAACATTAAAAAAAAATAAAATAAAGGAAGACACTAAGGAAATAGAGTCTTAGGGTAAAAGAAGATTCCTAGGAAAAGTACTACTCACAGAGGCCATGATGAACAGACAGATATGGCTGTTCTTTTGATGTAAACTGGCTCGGCACCTGTAGCTCAGTGGCTAAGGTTGCTGGCCACATACATTGGGGTGGGCAGGTATGAACCTAGCCCCAGCCAGCTAAACGACAATGTCAACTACAACAACAACAACAACAAATAGATAGGCACTGTGGCGGGCGCCTGTAGTACCAGCTACTTGGGAGGCTGAGACAAGAGAAAATCACTTAAGCTGAAGAGTCTGAGGTTGCTACAAGCTGTGATTCCACAGCACTCTAGTAAGGGTGACATAGTGAGACTCTGCCTCCACAAAAAAAAAGATGTAAGCTTCTGTACAAGGTAAGCAACAAGAGGAATAATTCTGTCCAATTAATTTAAAAAGATAATTAATGCCGCCACAATACATGAAGGATACCTACGATCAGTAAGAAAGACAAAACAAAAAAACCCAACAGAAAAAGGACAGTGTTATAGAGGTGATATGTAAATGGCTAACAAACATGTAAAATGATGGTCACTTACAAAACTAATCAAAGAAATGCAAATTAAGGCTCAATACCACTTTTCACTAATAAAACTGGCAAAGATTTTAATGATAATAATATCCAGTATTGGATGATATATGGGAAAATGATTGTTCTAGTGTTGATACACATTTTTATACCTTAGAGAACAATTTAAAAGTATATGTTAAGATGTCAAATATTCAGGCTTGTCAACCCAGCAATTCACCTATTTATCTTACAGATCCTCAAAATTTGATCAAAAAAAGACTAAAAGAATTAAAAACCAAGAAAAATTTCAATAGGAAAATGGTTTCCTATAAAAATAATTTGGACTATTAAAAGCTACAGCTTACAATAGCAATAAAAGTCAGTGATGGGTTAAGTTTTAACTAGCATTGACCTAGAAATCAAATCATATATGAAATAACATTAAATTTAAAATGAGACAGATGTATAAGACAGATAATTAAGTAAAAATAAGTTATAGAAGATATAATGTCTAATTAAGTTCGTGAACTCATCATAGAAAAAGTGTTACATACCTCATTGCTGAATATCATTACAGTCACCTTTGAAATACTCCCCTAGGGAAGCTATGCACTAACCCCAGGGCCTAGTCCACCCTTCAAAGCAATTTTGGAACTCATTTTCTGGAATGACCATTAAAGCTGTCATCACAGAAGGTTTAACAAATAAGTTGTTGAACTTGCCACTTTGTGTGTATGTTGGCAGCACTGTACGAACAACTTGGCAAGGTTTCATAACCTTGATATACCAGTGTCTCATAGCTGTGTTGGTGTTGACAAGTGGTGGTGTGCTGCTGAGTGGCATTCATTATTGTTGTTACCTGTTTTTGTGTGCTGTACAATGAAAACTCTGATGGTCATTCCAGAAAAAGATTTCTAAAATTGCTTTGAAGAGTGGACTATGTGCTGGCATGAGGACGCAGCTCCAAGAGGAGCACCTAGAAAGTGACCATTTCCCATCACAGTTATCAATGGTACTCTCTGCCAGTCTGGGTGCTCATGTTAATCCCTGTAACTTGGGAGGCTAAGGTGGCAGAAGTGCTTGACGCCAGGAGTTTGGGACCAGTGAAAGCAACTAAGCAAGACCCCTTCATACAAAAGATAAAATTAGTGGATGTGGGGGCTTGTGCCTATAGTCCTAGTTACTCAGGAGGCTGAGGCAAGAGGCTTGTGCTCAAACCCAAGAGTTTGAGATTATAATTAGCTATGATAATGCCACTGAACTCTAGCTGGGACAACGGAGGGAGACCCTGTCTTGACTGACCAAAAAAATTAAGTTAAATTTTAGAATAATGTCCTCTTTCACACTCCCAAGTGTCCTAGTTTAGGTGATAAACCAATAAATTGCACATCAACCCACACACCATAATACCATAAGACAGACATAAGCTCATTTTTCAGCTCCTCTACATGTAGAAGACTCAAAAATCTTATTACAGTAAAACCTCTATAAGAGGATCACCCAATGGGCTATAACAAACTGGTCAACACACAGAGGGGGTCAACGTAAGGAACTTCCATTGAGTACATGTGGTCCTGTCTGGTCTATGAAAATTATGTCAATTTAAGGAGGTGATCAATGCAGTGAGGTGGTCAACTATGGAGGTTCTACTGTAGTTTGGTTTTGTTTTTGACTTTCTAAAACATACCCCTTCATAAACTAATATGTACTTTTGAACTGCTTCAAAAGCTAAAGAATACATGATTTTCCATTTGTGTGACTTTATTAAGAAAATTTTGAGAAAAGCCTTTAGTTTTACAAATAATGCTGAGAGTTGATACTTTATATACTCTGCCTTCAAGAAAATTCCAGAACTTAGCAAGAATCTTGTTCATTAATTTACATACCACTCAAAAATATGAATCTAAAAATTGCAAGCCTGAGGTGTATAATTTTCCCAACCTAAAATATATTATTTTCTTAATGTAAGTTAACTGTGGGCCTCTTAACAGAAAACAATTTGTTTCCTTATTTTTTGTCTTTGCAATTCAGAATTATTTAAACCAGAAGTTCAAATAAAAGCACTTTATTGCATGTAATAAAAAGGCATACTACCTGCATTTAAATCAGTTACTGGGACTTGCAAAGTAGCTGCAACTTTTTTTAAAATCTTCTGCATTTCTGGTCCAGTTTTGAAGGCTTCCACATGATAAAGAGCTGTAGCATTCCTTTCCACTTCATGTAAAAACTTCGCACAGTGATCAAAGAATCTCATTAGCTTATCATTAATCCTTGGAGGTTCACACTCCATATCTGAAAAAAAAAAAAAGTACATTGAGCTAAATGATAATTTCAAATTACAGAAAATGTTTTAAGTGTGAAAAATGAACACTAACATCCTATTTACTCTATGTCTGAAATAAGCACATACTAAACCAAAAAGACAGGGGTAAAGTTTTGTAATGACTGTAATGCATGAGAGAATACGCTAGAAAAGACTAAAACAGAACACGGATCACGTTAAGAAGCTATGCTACACAACAAAATAAAGGTAACAAATGAAATGTTTTCCTGAACAAAAATTAGACAGGTATGTCATAAAAAGCGCACAATCATGTCACCTAAAAATTGTTTCTACGAAGCACAGAATTAGAAAGCAAACTAAAGTTTCTAATTATAAGGTAAGAGAGAATGCAACAGATTGAAATATGTGTCCACTCTAAGCCAAAGTCTAAGAGTATTTTCTCAATTAACTTTCTCAACCCTGGGTTACTTTACAAAAGATCCTACTTTGGACAAAAACTACTGACAACAGCACAAAATGCATGGCTGCTTCAGTTCTACTGCGCTTCACTGTGCTAGAAGCTTCTGATTTAGTTTATCTTCTGACAACTTTGCACCTAGAACTCGGCAAGTTACATGTTTTTCTCAGTTTGGCAACAAATATGTATTAGAAAAGCAATAATGGTTCAACTACTGGAGTGCCTTTTTTTTCAGTTGTATTCAAAACACATATCTCAATCATTTCTCCAATAATTTACCATGAAAAGAACACCAAGTATATCACTTTTGTATGTAAGAGAAAACTGAATATAGTTACACCATTTTGCTTTGAAAGTGTGTGAGAATATATATATAAGTATATCTCCTTGAAATGGATAATTCTTCCCACTTTACTTGCAAATTGGATTATAGTTCTTAATATCTTGACTGGGAAAATAAGAACTTTATCATCTTTTCCTGTAGCCTCAAAATATGATCTCCCAAGTGGATCCTGAAATTTTATCATGACTATTAACACCTAGTTATTGCTATTTAAACAGACACAAAGGCACTGTTCTGTTTTTATAAAAATATAAAATCTAATTCAGTAGATTCCCTCAAAAGCCCAGATATACATAACCCACAAAACAATGATCTATAGATAAGAGGCTAGGCAAAGGGTTTATTCTTTAAGACTGAAAATGGTGGTAGGTTGGGCTTATTCTGAACTACTGTATTTTGATCCCTGGCTTTGTACTCTGAGACAAATGCCAATCTTCACAATGCCATCCAAGGGCAAAAATCCTTCATTCTGGGATATCACTACATATACTAATATATTGGGCTATGTTTAAGCATATTTTGTTTTCAACATTCAGTTCATTTAACAGATATATGGGAAATTTTCACTCATGTTAATGTAAGAAGTATAGCTGTAATTAAAAAGCACAATTCAGGCCAGACATGGTACCTCATGCCTATAATCTTAACACTCTGGGAGGTCGATATGGGTGTGCTGCTTGAGCTCGTGAGTTCGAGACCAGCCTGAGCAAGAGTGAGACCTTATTTTTCTTAACAGGTATGTTACTAGACAATTGGAAGCTGTGTAGTATGTATAATGGTTAAGAAGGTAAGCTTTAAAAGAGATTTCCTGGGTCCAAAACTACTTGTGTGAAAATAGGCAAATTATCTACTGTGTTTGTGTCTCAGTTTCCTCATCTGTGAGACAAGGAGAAAATATTATCAACTTCAGAGAGTGGCTATAAAATTTGAGGCACACCTCAGACATAACAGGCATTAAGTGTTTGCTATCATTATCTGTGACTATTAAAACATTTTTCCTAAAGCAAAAAGCACCATTCTGGGAAAACAGAAGACCTGGATTCTGGGCCTGACTCTGTTAATTCTCAAACTGGAGAAAGACAATTAAAGAGGCACGCTATTTCATTCCTCTTCTTCACCTGTGAAATAAAAGGGCCTCACTAGATCTCTCAAATTCTGAACAAGTATAATTAATGTAATACATGAGTAAGGTATCACATGTGACCATGAACCACAGCTATACTGAGGGAAACCCTATAGTAAACAGGACACAACAAAAAGCAGGGTATAAAGAAGGCTTGAGAGCAGCTTCCTAAAAGTGCCTGTAGGTCTAGTACCATCAGCTGGAAAAAGTTCCTAAGTTTTTTTAAAAAGTATCAGGGCTCAGTGCCTGTAGCTCAAGTGGCTAAGGCGCCAGCCACATACACTAGAGCTGGCAGGTTCGAATCCAGCCCAGGCCTGCCAAACAACAATGACAACTACGACCAAAAAATAGCCATTGTGGCAGACACCTATAGTCCCAGCTACTTGGGAGGCTGAGGCAAGAGAATCGCTTAAGCCCAGGAATTGAAGGTTGCTGTGAGTTGTGATGCCACAGCACTCTACCGAGGGTGACAACTTAAGGCCGTCTCAAAAAAAAAAAAGTATCAGAAGCAAAAGGTCTAGAACAGTGGTTCTCAACCTTCCTAATGCCTGGCCCTTTAATACAGTTAGACTCTTGAAGGTCTAGAGAAAAAAAGGTCTAGAATATATTGTTTTAAAAGTGCACCCAACTGTAAAACTAGTTGTTGGGAAGGAATGGGTTGGCACTCAAAGGGACCAACTCAATTTGGGAATGGGAGATCAAAACGTGCGGGAGAGACCTGTCTCCAGTTGGATCCCCATCGTCTACTACAGCATGCAGTACGTAGAATATGCTAAATTTATACCTGATGAATGAGTAAATGAACATAAGTATGGGAAGAGAGAGAGCCAAGTCCGGAAGGTCGTGTGCCCAGGCAGGACCTAGCCCGAAGGAGTGGAGGATTGGGAAGAAAGGAAAGTGGGGAGAGAATGGGGCTGGGGAAATTCAGGGTCTAGGAGATGCGGGCGGAGGATTTAGGGAAGGGAGAAAGGCTGAGGCAGGGCACGGGCCGGGCGGCTGGACGGTCACCTTCGACATCGGGCGGCGGCAACCCAGGATGGTAGTGCTGCCACAGCCCCTGCAGGAAGGCGGTGCTGCTATCCACGCAGCGGTGCTTGGAGCTAGAGATGAGCTGCAGGCAGCCAAAGTTCTCCCGGCTGAAAAGGGTCGGGAAGAGCGAGGCCAGACGCAACGCGAGCTGTCGCATGTCCTGCCGGCCCTTCTCCACTAGCTGCCCGTCCATCCAGTCCGCGTACCACAAAGGCCAGTCGGCCAGCACGGCACCCAGGTCGCGGCCACCGGCGATCCCGGCCCTGTCATCCCTGGGCCTGCGAGCCTGCAGTAGTTCGTGCAGCTTCCTCAGCTTGCGGATCTGTTTGGCCGTAGGGTAGCGGGTGCCGTGCCGAATGAGGGCGACCAGCTGCACCGGGGTGCAGGCCCCCTCCAGCAGCTCCGGGTCCCTCCACGGCGCCCCGGGGCCCGACAGCAGTCCAGGGTTGACATCCTCATAGCGAGTCTTGGTGCCGAAGTAGGGGCTGAGCACCGAAGCCACCGAGTCCAGTGGCTCTAGGAGAGAGCATCCGGCAAGCGACGAGAGCAGCGCCGCCGCCAGGGCCGCGGCGGGGCCTACGGAGGCCCCGAGGAGGCGGCGGCAGGGACTTCGGAGCATGGTGCGTTTCGGCTGCGGAGGGCGACGCGCCAGCTGCTCACGCCCACTTCCGCCTCCGGAGGGCAGGGGGCGGGCTCGGGGGCAGGGGGCGGGCCCGGGGGGCTGGGAGCAGACCGGAAGGGAGAGCAGGGGGCGGGCCCGGAGGGGGAGCAAGGGGGCGGGCCCGGAGGGGGAGCAAGGGGCGGGCCCGGAGGGGGAGCAGGGGGCGGGCCCGGAGGGCTATTCCGTCCTGTGCCCTGCAGGTTTCTCCGCGCTTGGAGGCCGTGGCGGCGGCTGGCTCAGGTTGTGAGTTCTGGCGGAAAGCGTCGAGGAAATCTGTGAACCTGTGGCTCAGGTGGAGCTGGCGGAAAAGCCTGAGGAGCTGGGGACAGCCACAGCCTGGGTGGAGCCGGTGTCGGCTGGCCCGGAGCGGGGGCGAGTTTCCTCTCAGAGGGTGCCTCAGGGATTGACTCAAAGACTCCCCCGCCTTTTTTTTTTTAAGTTGTCTTGGGTGTGGATAAATCCCAGGCTTGCAAAACAGAACTTGACAGAAGTCTCTTTTATCACCACCCCTGCTCCTTTCTACTGTGTTTTTCAATGTCTCTGAACCTCGCATGAAACTCACCTGAAACGGTTGTTGAAAATCCAAATCGCTGGGCCTCACCTCTTGAAGCATGAGGTTAGTTCTTCCTTTTAGAGTGTAAAAATAATCAGGACACAACAAAGTGAAGAACCTGGAAAGGTGCTTAATTCTGCAGGAATTTAAATTCTGAATCGTTGATATAATCTTGATTTCGGCAATGAGAGCTGACACAGTGAGACAGCACCCTAAAAGTTCTGTGCTTGTTGATCCCGAAGGCGTCGAAAGTAGAGATACAGCTGTCCTGATAACTTCGTGCATTGAGTCATGGCTCAGCAGATTTACTCCATTATTAACTATGAGCTCATCTGTTTTGGAAGCAAACTTGGTATTTACCTCGGCTCCAAGTCTATAGTCTCCCATATACTTACATATTCAGATCAGCAGCAGGTTTTTATTTTTTTTTGACAAGTGTTAACCGAAATTCATGACTAAGGCAAAGGGTCAGTAGAGGTTAAGCCAGAACTTGAGGGTGCGCGCCTGGGGAAAAAACAAATCACAGAGCATCTGTGCCTGTGGTTTTTGGGAGGTTTAGTAATTATCCATTTCCTTATAGGAGAAAGGCGTGTAGGTGGTAGGACAAATGGTGGCGGTTTGGTGAGATTTCAGTAAAGTTACAGCCCAATAAATTTACGTTTACGTGAGGTGATTGTAGGTGAAGGCAAAAGAGTAAAGGAAGAATGAGTTATGTCTGGGGAAGGTGGAGGAACAAGAGAATCATCTTTGTCCTAGCCTGTTAGTGTGGAATTGAACAGACTTTAGCAGCGTTAGATTGATATCCTTGTTTGTGGGAGAATCTTGAAATGTTTGAAGGCCAGCATAGATTTACTTAGGAATGATTTGTGGGGCAGTCCATCCAGAGATACCCGGGGCCCTTTTTCCCTTTGGGATTTGGTTCGACACAGAGTTCTGAAAGTAGCCGCTGTTTATTTGAAGAGGCTGTTGTATGGCTCAGCCACCAGGCTTAACTTTCCCTTTGTCATAAGAAGTTTGGGGGTCTTGAGATTATTGGATTTTCTTTTATATAGATTATCACTCAGAATCTTTGATGCCAGAAATCATTAATATGAGCAATACCCTGGTTTTTCAGTCATTAATATGAACTTGAACCCCAGTTTATATGCCAGTTGGGAAAGGGATTACTAAAGTCATGGTGATCCAAATCAGACTTTTTCTAAGTGGAACAGGAATGCTCTGCTTTGGTGCTGTCTCCAGCAATAGTTCCACTTGGGAAGGAGGATAAGGGCAGGAATTCTGTGTTGCAGTACCCTTAATCCTGCACCCAAGAAAAACGGGAATGAGTTATTAACCTGGGAATTCCCATTCCCCCTCCACGTGGGCTTTTTGAGAGGGAGCTCTTATACGTGCACACAGATGGCATTGAGGATACCTGTTCATCATTTAGTAACATCTTACACTTCCCCAAAACCCTCTATCTGGACTGGACTTATAAGAGAAAATAACCTGGCTGGGCATGATGACTCACGCTTGTAATCCTAGCCTTCAGAGAGGCTGAGGCGTGTGGATTGCTTGAGCTCAGGAGTTCGAGAGCAGCCTGATTGAGAGCGAGACCCCATCTCTGGTAAGTATAGGAAAATTAGCCAGGTGTTGTGACATGTGCTTGAAGTCCCAACTGTTCAGGGGACTCAAAAGGATTGCTCAAACCCAAGAGTTTGAGGTTGCCGTGAGCTATGATGCTGAGGCACTCTAGCCAGGGCAAGGGAGTAAAACTCAATCTCAAAAAAAAAAAAAAAAAAATAGAACCTGAGAAAGTCAATAAGGGAGTGAGTCAGTCTGTCTCTCTCTGATTTTGGAGACAGACTCATTCCACTTTATAATAGCTACTTAGGTGGGATTGTTCCTGTGGTCACTCAGTCCTATTGGCTCTGCTGGTGATTTTCCCTTCCTAAGGAAGCAGAGAACCAGGATGATACAACCAGAGACTGGGCGTGGCACTTGCTGTGTCTGGCCATTCTTCAGCCAAGAGCACACCGAGAACCAAGGGCAGAGTGCCGCCTGACAGCTTTCCCTTCCAAGACGTTATTGCATTGCTGTTGGTAAGCCCATCACTATTTTAACTCCTTTTCTCTTTAGTTAAGTGTCTCATTTTATTTCAGAGAGGCATGCCTCTGATGATAACCAAGAAGAAAATGTAAATCAAGAATAGACTTCAATCTGAATGTGGAAATCTTTGAGATGTTTTGTGCAGGAAACCATCTTTAGGGCAATAGGTACTCTTTTTGATGAGCCATTTTGTAGAATACAGTGCATAAATACCTGTGGCCAGTGATTTTTTTCTTTCTGAACTTTGCTCAAATTGGTGAATATCCACCCCCACCTTTTTGTTTTAAACTCTAATCTTGTAACAAATTGCACCCTTTTAATAGACTTCCTTACCTTATGCTGGGTAGGCTGAGACGTTTGGTAATATTTCTATGTTCATTAGCAAGCATTTGTGCTAGGTGCACCTTGCTATATGTGGAATTTTGCTTAATGTATGTGCTGAATAATGAGCCTCTCTCATGCCCAGGCTCGAAACTTTTGAGTCCTCAGAAGTAACCAAGTCTTTCCAAGGCATCATTCATTTCTTTCTTTGATTCCTTTTTACTTTATTTTCTTTTCTTCCTTTTTTTTTTTTTTTTTGACATTTTCACTTTGTCACCCTCAGTAGAGCGCTGTGGCATCATAGCTCATTGCAACCTCAAACTCCTGGGCTCAGTGACCGTCTTGATTCAGCCTCCTAAGTAGCTAAAACTACAGGCGCCTGCCACAGGGCCCGGCTATTTTTAGAGATGGCTCTTGTTCTTGCTCTTGCTCAGGCTGGTCTTGAACTCCTGAGCTCAGGAAATCCACCTGCTTCAGCCTCCCAGAGTGCTAGGATTACAGGCGTGAGCCACCAGGCCCAGCCCATTCACTTCTCTCTAATGATCGATCTTTGGAGATACTACTCTAACTACCTAAAAAACAAACCCCTGGCACATACTTTTATATGCTAAATTTGCCCCAGTTTGATTTTATTTCATTTCTCTAGTTTCTTACCTGTTAATTTTATACTGGTTTATATACTTACATTAATCCTTTTCATGTCATGTCAGGATGACAATGACAAAGTAAAAATAAGCAATGCCTCCATGGTTTTGGCCAGAAAAAAGCCAGATATAGCATGAAGAGGGCAAGGAGTACATAAACTTTGTGTCCAGAGTCTAAGATCTGCCACTTGTTAATGAAGTAACTCAAGTTTTCTGAGCCTTAGTTTCCTCATCTGAAAACTAGTAATATTAGAAGGTACCTTGTGGGATTATCGTGACAGTCAGAAATGATATAAAGTCCATATAATAGTCCACTGCTGTCAGTGGTGCTCTTATCAAAAATGCTCAGTGTTTTTATTTCTGCACTAAGATGCTTAGCTTTCTAACAATTGTACAGATTACACTTACTTCCATTGAACATTAAAGTGAATGACTTTCACAGGCAAGACCTGCATCAAAGATCATTTCATAATTTTTCTAATAATAAAAATCCACTTGTCACAATTAATCTGGGGTCTCATTATCAGAGCAGTGGGCTGCCTTGAAGTTTTCAGAAGGTGACAGGGTCTGCTCATCTTTTCATGTCAGATCACATCTTAATTCTCTAGGCCAGTGTTTTTTTAATCTTACAGCATTTTTGAACCTATAGTTAAACTTCTGTGGCACACTTAAGTTATGTTGATGCCAAAAAAAGATCTTACTATGCTTTGAACTTCTTTCAAAAATAATTTAATTAATGATCTTTAAAAATTGTTATGGCACACCTAAGATCCTCTCATGGCATACTGGTTGAAAATCACTGCCTAGAGCAGTAAATTGGCTGCCCTTTGAGATTTCCACCTGGTTTATTCAGGTGGTACAGACAAGTTTGCATGGTATAAAACATGGCTGCCCCTTTGCAGAGATCAAGGGTGAATTGCTTAAGAGGTTATGCATATATGAGTAATTATTTGGCAAATCTACTGCAACATAAAAAATACAAAGGAAAATTAATTGTTTAGGTTCCTTGAAGAGATAGGAGACGATGGAACCAAGAGCACAGATAGAAAATTTGGTTTGGACCAGAAGAAACCTTACCTTCTGAGGAAATATTGAAAGGATGGGTGATCATGTGGATAAATTTGTGGATCTAGCAGGAAGGAGTACATCCAGTCTGATGGCTTCAGGTTCCTCAGTGTCATAGGGGACAAGATTGTCCTGGAATGTGGAAATGGTTTGGATTTACAACTGAGAGAAATGGGAAAATAATGGAAAAGGATTTACAGCTAAGAGGAATGGGGGAAAGTAAAAGTATACATGGTCAACTTGGAGGATCCAAATGAAAAGAAAAGACTTGAATTGGTAGACGTTTTACAATCTTATCCCAAAGCAAACATTTCTATTTTGTTTTTCAGAGTG